TATCGCCTGAAGAAGACTAGCAGTAAGCAGTCGAAACGTCGCGATCTACATCTCAAGTGACTACATCGTGAGACAAACGATAATACACTTTATTACTTCAGCTTAGCTGTTAGAGCGGGACTTGAACCCGTGACCTCCGGATTTGAAGTTCGGCGCCCTAACCACTCGGGCACGCTGACTCCCTGCTGCCTCAGAAAAAGAAATTTTCGCGTACAGGTTGGGGCACTATATAAACATGCATACACACAGTGGTTGCATACGTTATTTTTTAACAATTACACTGCAAGATTGTATTTGATTTCTCTTTGCAAAACCAGGTCTTGTCCGGCTACACTTGTTTTCAACCAGGTAGTCCAGTTTTAAGTTAAATGCGACGGTGATAATGTCTTGTTATCTAGAGAGGATGAAGGGTAAGAGATAATTTTCTTTATATAGGCCTTTTAATATTCCCAAGGTAATCCCTGTTGAGTTATTTTTAGATCAATCCCAGTTTTGGAATTCCCTAGAAGGGACTAGACATAGGCAATCCTGTGACACGAATTTTGCTCATGTGGACAGCAATCGATTTTACAAGCATTTTCATCGTCTATGAAGATATCCACCTAAGCGGTAACATTGTGGGCGAACAAACTGGGTACCATGTCTAAAGATAACTTCAATAAGTTCGATATGAGGGATCAACTCTCTTCATGCTCTCTTGTTGTCATTGAATACTTACCTGAAACTCCCTCCTTTCCAATACTACGAGTCTTGACTTCCATGCAAGACCTCGGTGGGCCGTATTCCCCTTCTCTCATCCAATACCAGATGTACGTAGGACATTGTTCCTTATCTTTTCCATATATCCATGGAGCAGGGTGATATTTCTTCATAGAAGCTGTAAAATAGCAGAAAAATCGTATAACGACAAATTTTTAACTTTCACTAGTAGAGTTGGTAGAGAATAAGTGTGATACCGGGTAAATGCATTGGTAGCATACAATGGAATTTTTGCTTTATTAGTTCACTACTGGTATATAGTGTTATCTTCATTTGTTGTTATCATATTTTGCAGTCAACTGACATTGCAATATTTCACAGGCTGACAGACAGCATTTTAGATAGTATTTAATAAGAGCTAGCATGTCAGGAAATGAGACTTTACCTACCAAACAGTTAAAAGTTGATAAAGTGAATTAAACGTCATGGCGAACTTGGAAAGCTGAAGTTTTGATCAGTCGTTCGTCAGTGGAACCCGTCGATGCAACACAATCCGGGGGCACTCTCATATGAAAAGGTCTGGGATGCCCGTCGGAAAATTTGCAGTAAATCCCTCAAGCTTAAGGAGACCAATCCGTGAGTGGTTTGAGCTTTATTTGACCCCTAAAAGATACCATTTAAAACGGAATAGGTTCGATAACCAGCCGCTTTTTCCGACAGGAACCCGGGGTAGTAGACCGGATAGATCGGACTCAAGAAAGCGACGAAAATCGAGCCTAAAAACGGAAATGAAACGTTTTTAAATTGTTAATTTTTCGAGTGCACCCTAAAAGATACTTTGACAGCTAAAGATAGTGGCGTTTCGCCTTCAACACGATACGTGAGACCAGAATCCTTAACGACAAGCGTCCCCGACCTTTTCATATGCACGCATGGGATTCCCTCCCCCGGGATAGAAATATAGTTAAGTCTCTACGTTTCACGGCTTACCAGTAATGGAGCCGAATTCGCTATTCTTTGGCTCTCCAGCTGTAGTCAGCCTCTCTCCGTATAACCAAGGCATTGTCTTCTGCAGCCCATACCAGCTATATTCCCATTTGTCAAACTTTTTGGTAAGCTCCACTCCAGTCTGACTGTTATCAGTATTAACGAAGCTGTAGCTGCGCGGTGCTTTCCAAATCCCGCCCCATCTCCCTGTAGCACAAAGTAAGAGTGAGAAGATTATTATCTAGAAGCATAAATTAAAGTCATTGCACTGAGAAAAGTCAAGACTAAATGGTATCCTTGGTAAATTAAAATTCAGTATTTTTGAATTCACCAGCACGATTACCCATAAATGGTACGCCAAAAAACTTTTGTTCTGAATATTTACCGCTAGTGTATTTATTATATGACTGAGAAAAATTAGTTCATTGTGATTGGCTGAGAGCAGGCCAATTTATCCCTACCCTTTTAATTTGCAATACAGTACAAATTAACTCGTGTGTGTTCGTAATTATCGCGGTCATAATAAATGAGTAATCGTATGAAAACTCGAGCCAATTGAAAATTCTTACGAATTGCACTTGCTTACAGGAGCCGGTTTGCGCATCTTGGTAAGTTTAGCCTAAATGTTTCAAGTCCGTCGTTTGTAATTTGTGTTAATCTTCTCTATCTTAACCATCCCAATATGTATTGATCAACAAAAAGCCCATTAAGGGAGTGTCCAATAGAGTTGTTTCTTTATGGTTTATTATTATCTCTATATAGAGATATGGTGATTTTTCATCTTACTAAAATTTTTATTTTCAGGTTTCCTTTAATTTAAAGGTAATTTTGTACGTGGCTAAAATAACTCAAAATACCGTGACTAAGCTCCTTTAAAAGCTCGTGCAATTATGAGAGAGTTTTCGAATATCACGAATAATGTAAATACTTAATTGCCGGCTCGCATTCGTACGATTATTGAAAGCTTTTTCGCTGTTTACATATGTAAAGGCAGGATTCTCAATCTCTAAATGGTGATAAAATAATGAAGTTATTCGGTGACATTTAATTTCCTGTGAGAGCCATATTGATTTAGTAACATTTCTCATTTTCGCGAAATTATAGACACGCAAATTGAATGAGCGCGTAATAACACATTTTATTATTATATGACCTTATATGGCTAGCTCCGTGAGCGGGCGAGATGAACCGAGCAACAACAACAACAACTTTATTTAGTACTCATACATTTACAATTTTTCAAAAATATTTACACTTTACACTTAACACTTTATTATTAAGTTAAAAACTTGACTATGACAAAAGCGTGAACCCTCAGGCTAATTTAGGCGGGCCGAATTCTGCTCTCTGATTGGCTACCCGAGATGGCGCTTTCTTGCCCGCTCGGGATTACTCGCTGTGTCCCGCAAGAAAAAAGTGGGTTTTTCTCCATATAATAAATCCTTTATTGACTTTATTGACCAAGCGTGTTCGGTCAAGATGGCTGAATATTGGACTCGTTCTTATTTGCGTGTTTATGAACTTCGGCTCCGTCTCGGTCCATAAACACGCCAAAAAAAGAAAGAACCTGGCAAATATCGAGCTATCTTGACCTCCCTCTTGAACTATAATCCATGTATTAAATATTTATAATCAGACTTACCTGGACTGTCTGCCTCTAAACGATATTCAAAGGACGAGCCTTTTACATTCCCGCTGTTCTTGATATCGTCCGCTTTAAACAGAATAGAATAATCGTTCTTCAGTTTTGGGTCCATCTCGTTATTTTGTAAAACGTTCTGTCTGGTCCATTTGTTGGTATAACTGGCAACCAATAGCGTCCACCCACCGCCATCACGTGTCATGTCACATATAGTCTTGACCACGCCCTTGCCGTCCGGGTTTATTTCATATACGTCGTCCGCAAATGCCTTGTTGAGCTTTTTGCCAAGGATTTGAAGATGGCGGCAAGAGTGAGCCTCTGGAGAAACATAAAAGGATAAATTGCTGCTGTAGGTGAAATTGGTTCTCTCATATTTAATTGTTTAATCATAGTAACAGAGGGAAATGGTTATGAAACCCGTCAAAGGTCTTTGTTATATGGAAATATCGAAAAGTAACTGAGAATTTGCTTCCGAAAACTTTTATCCGCCTCACTTTAATAAATTTCTAATGCTAACTTCAAGGAAACCGTATAGGAGGCAAGATTTTTTAAAAGCTTTTGCTCGTTATACTTGCCTTGGATGTACTAAGCCTCGTAGTGTGCCAGTAGAAGGCCCTTTGTTGTTTTCAGTTGGTAACGGTTGTGACTGTTATCTTATCTGCATGCTTTAATCCTTTTAAAAATACAGTAGACCTTTTCACTACCTATGCTGTCATTTTGCTACAAGGGCAAACAAGGTACACAGATAATTTTCCCGAGGACTTTCGCAGGTTATGGAATTTAAGAAGAAATGCATAGAAAACGGAAAAATACGACTGCACACTTTCTAAGAAGATAGCAACCTGCCTGACCGATCCTGGGATCTGGGATCTTAGGTCAGTTCTCGCCATAAAGGTTGCGTAATCTATTTGAGACTTAAGACCCCGTTTTTGCTCCCTGACATAAACGTAAACTGCTTTTCTGCCATATATATATAAGCCACGACAAAACAACAACAACAACAACAAAAAAACATTCACTGATGATATATTTTATCTAGTTTGTTCCCACATGAGGTCACTTGATTTTTCCGGCTCAGAGACGAATAAGAAAAATATAAAGAAAATTATCAAACGATGTTTTGTCGACACGCTCATCAGGGCAATTCGTTTCACTGTCATTACAATTTTGTTGCAAGGAAGTAAGAACCTAAATGTACTTTTAATTTAATTTATTAAGGAAACGAAAACATGATCGCTTTCGGATCTCGAGTTTAAAATATTTGCATTTCAAAGGAGAATATAGATATCGCCCAGTCATTAAGAAGAAAATTGACAAATAGACCCAATTTCGTCTTCCGCACCTCACTGTTACATATACAGTTTTTTTTCTCTATGTAATAAAGCAAGTCTTATGAGTATCGTATCTTGTCGTGAAAAGTGTTCTTTTGCACAGGAAAAAGTGAATTCTCCGAAGAGATTGTGGAAATCTCAGTGCCGGAAAATTGGATTAAAGCCCATCTGTCGGATGTTAGCCTAAATCGAGTTTTATTGTCAAACGTTTCTGGAAGAGAATTGAATCATCACACCAATATGAGAGCACAATAGACCCGGTGGGAGGAGAGCGTAATGTGTTGAAATAAATCAATGTCACCAGAGCGAATCACTGTGTGTTTTGTTCTTACGCTTCCGAGATTTTTTTCTAATATCTCAGTGAACGTTTTGTCTTGTCGACAAACGCAGGTACACTTATGATTTCTCTAGTTCTTCCAAGGCGATGTTGTCCGTTTATCGCAAAAAACAGGGAAAAGATTGAGAAGCTGAGCGTTTCAACGTTTCAAAGGAATGACAGTGTACCTACTCGTTAAGAAAACTTGAATTTCCCGAGTTACTGAGAAAATTAGGTGAATATTGGTTACAAGTTTTCAAGATTTTTCGATAGGACTCCAAAACAAAGTAGATTTTATATATACTGATAAGTGACAACTTCAAATATTGCCGCAAATCGGAAGAGAACCATCTTAAAGTTTTGCTCACGGCAAAAAGGTTCAGGGTCAATAATGAAACTCTAACAGTACATAAGCCCTTCAACTTTTTGGTCTGTCACTTATTGTATTATTCATAATCGTAACAGTCTATTTTCAGTTGATAACTATGATATGTATTTAAAGGAAGATTTTTAAGCCATTCTCTGCCAAGGAGCTGCGTAGAATGATGATATTAGTTATTCAAAGCTTGGCGTGGATATTGTGAAGATCTACACGGCTCGGGCTTGAAAAAAATCAAGAGGAGCACATAGTAATTGGCTAGGAATAAACATCGTCTGGTTAGCAGTGATCCGTCATAATTACATTTATTATTGGACACTCCTACAGAAAGGCAACAAACAAAGGCAGTAAATACCTTTTTTGCGGTTAGTCTATGTCTACATAATTATGTTTTTTTTCCTTTTTCTTCAAGTTTTCAGTTTTAGCACCTGCCTGTTTGGAGAACTACCGTCTGATCATAAATTATTCAGCTTTCTTTTGACACATCACTTAGATACCGAGAAGGCACTCAAATCAATTAGAACGTGGCTTACAGAGAGCAACTTCTAAATCAGACTACAAAGAGGACGAGGGAAGCAGCTTATCTTTTAGATAAGAACAAGTTATTAACGGGTATCAGAAAGCTTTGGCTTGAAAACAACCAGGGGACCACGTTCAGCTGTATTCCACTGTGGTTTAAGATGTTCATGGTGTACTAATTACCAAGACACTTTCATTGCTGAGCTATTGCTTCAAAAAGCCAAAGTGTTTTGTAGCCAGGTTGTGAGACGTCTGAAATTCAATATCAACGTTTTCTCAAGCTCTTCAAAGCGTTTTCATGTCTCAAAGAGCGAGCTGAAATTCTTGGAACTGTCGGAACTAATTACGAAGACGCTTTTATTGATCAGATATTACTTGGAATAGTCAAAGTGCTTTGTAGCCACTGAGGTTCTAGGACATCTGAAATTTAATATCAGCGTTTTCACAAAAGTGTTCTGACAGTAAACAGCGAGGTGAAATTTTTGGCACTGTCGTTTCTGTCAGATTTCTGAGCGGAAGCCACCGAGAGCACGGTATGGAAACAAGCAACACAACGAAATGTTTTTTCTTAACAAGCGTCGAACTCTCACATACGGGAGGTGTCTTCATCGCAGAAATCATTTGTTGCGCAATTAACTCTGTATTTACCTTAGTGGCAACTCTGTGCAACATTTTAGTCATCCTGGTTATTTGGAAGTCTCCACCTCTCCACTCGCCTTCAAACGTTCTCATCTGCTGCCTGGCGGGTTCAGATCTGGTGACTGGTCTCTTTGCCCAACCTATGCTGGTCACTTATAAGATTGCCGAGTTCGAGGACAGTGCTCAAACCGCCTGCATTGGAAGGCTAATTCACTGGATAGCTGGATTTGTGAGCGCAGGAGTTTCTGTAATGACAATAGCAGCCATATCGTTGGATAAAGTTCTTGCGCTTTATCTACACCTTCGTTACAAAGAAGTAATCACTGTGTCGCGTGTTTTGAAAGTTGTCTTCGTCTTCTGGTTCTTTTGCTTAACTGCGGCCGTTTCTCTATTTGTGGCGAACTCGGATCGATACTGGACGCTTGTTCCTCTCCCCGTGCTCAGTGTAAGCTTAACAACGACATTTGTAGCGTATATCAAAGTGTTCGGAGTTCTTCGACGTCACCGCAATCAAATCCGCGCCCAAACCCGTTCGGCTTGGAGTGGAGTCAACATGCGAAAATACAAAAAATCGGTCATTACTATGGTGTACGTTCTAGTGCTGTTTCTCGTTTGTTATACACCGTTTTTAACAGCGATGGCAGTTCGCGTTTTGGTTGGTTACAGTCCTAGTGTTAAAGTTGCTTACGAATGGGGAGCAACAGTCGTGTATCTAAATTCAACATTGAATCCCTTACTCTACTGGTTCAGAATGCAGGAGATTCGCTTGGCAGCGTATAACGCCATAAGAAAACTGCAAGGAAACGAGAGCAAGATTGCAAGCAAAGTTTACAAATTTAGCCTGAACAACGAGGGCTTTTATAACGAAAGCATCCCGAGGAAGAGAGGAATGGATTTCTCGCAAGGCACTCAAACTTAACTGTTGCAATCACGCCACCTGTCATTATCTTATCTGGCTCACAAGATGTCTCAGAGTAATGTTTATTGAGAAGATGATTAGTTCAGGATAAATTACTCAAACATCATTCGCAAATTAATCGTCTTGTTTTATGTGAAAAATAAAATAGGAATAACCCGTTATTTCTACATTACGCTAATAGAATTTTCACGAAAAACCTTTGGGCTCGAAAAAAACTGCTTCTTCAGAATGTTACCACAGTCGTAGCCAGAGTAAATCTTGCTCTATTACCGAAGCAATATCAGAAAAACGGTTCTTTTATATTCATTTACCTTTTTATAAATGCATAGCCTCTTACGAGAACTTGAAATCAACAAATAAATTCCAAATTCAGTTTACCGAGACAACTGACCAGGTTCGCCTGTGCTAGCTACGGCCTTGGTTACAAAACAAGTAGAAAAAAAATTTAACACACAAAAGTCTTTATTTTAAAAGACGAGAAAATTATCATGTTATGTGAGATTACAACTAAACATGTTATATGATATTACCACTAACGACAGTGAATAGCAGCTGTTGGTATACATTTATTTAACACACCAACGCAGAAGCCGAGCAATTTCAGTTCAGTATTGTAACTCCAACTCCGCAATGTAATTACTGATCTACGTTGCCGGACAGACGTTTATATTGAGCGCGCGGCGATAAAAGAGTTTGCCTCAAGGAAAGAGGGAGTATCTGTTAATTAGTTGGTGAGGATTGTTTACAGTTTATAGAAATAATCATAATCAGGTTCCGATATCATTGACTTATATTCCCGCTGAGAGCGTTAAGCTAAGAGGTAAACGGAATTTTGAATCATGCGTAGCAAAGGACCATCCAACGAAAGAGCAGCGAAATGGCTACAGTTACAGAGCAATGTATTTACCCATTTTATTGGTACTCATATGATTTCTTCATCTACGTTTTGGTGTTCTCAGCTCTTAGTTGCAAGTCTCTTGATAAATAATTAATTGTAAGGATTGATCGTGATTGACAGGCAAACTCTCAACGATATTACATGCGTGAGGCAAAAGTAAAGTCAATAAATATCTTGCCGAGAAAGGAAATTATCGCAAAACCCAAAGATAAGATGGTGTTATCAAATGCCCTAATTTCCGCACCAGTTATATAGTCGGGGCGTTTCATTTCCCGCCTGGAGATTCTGACTAAAAATTTTCAATATTAAAATTCTGTCAGGGCTCTTCGTTTGTTGGTTTGCCGAAATAAAATAAAAAGAAGGTCTTTCATGGAAATTCTGAAGTAGTAATTAATATAACACTAACTTAATTAATGTTTCTGTTTAGCGCCACGACTAGAAACTACTAACGTGTTAATGGGACGCTTTCAATATAATACTTCTGATTATTACCATTAATGTTATAGCGACAGTGAAGTGCAACTAAAGTAACGGAAACTTGCCAGAGGTTGCAAAATCTAAAACCAATCAGTTTACGCAGGGTAATAATATTAATGCGCTAAACCGCCGGGATTAACTTAATAATTGAATGTTTGAGCCTTGAGGTGTTTTACCCAGATCGTAGTTTCCTTAGTTTGGGCGGCAACTCCTCCAAGTTTTGATGTTGGTGCTGCTTGGCGTTTTGAAACCAAGGTTATCTTATATTGGCCAAAATATGATATTCCATCCCTATACCAAACTTGCCATCTACAGCGGTCGATGCTTTATTTCAGATTTGATCGTTTGAAGTGTGCTCTTTAATGCTCAACTCTGCTATTTCGAACTCAAATGTGGATATTATTTTTCAGTCATTCACTGTCAGCTATCTGGAATCCCCGTTGTCTCGCACTATGTTTAGTTTCCGTTAGAGGAGCTCAGTCACGTTATTATGAATTATTATATATGTATATATATGTAAACGGTACCAGAACTCTCAGGCCAACAAAGGTGTCACAGCGTCAGAAGGATCAGTAAAGATTCCCAGTCCAAACCTCGCAGCATAAACGAACGTAGAAAGTTAAAAAATTGTGAGGACGGACAACTTCTGACGTAAAAAAGACTAAAAAATTTAATAAAAAACGTTTCGGTCAGAGACCTTCTTCAGTTATTACAACTTTTGAATAAAAACGACCCCTAAATAAGATTAAGGTGCTAGTGATTACGTAATTACAAGTGACAATTAATAAAAATACAAAATCACGTGAAAGAGAAAAAGTGGTGTTAATTAACAAAAAACAAAAAACAAAATCAACAAAGCGGAAAAATATTGAATAAGTCAAAAACAAACTATTATGAAAATAATCGGTAGAGTCTGAAAGATAAAAGCTAAAAACTAAAAGGCCAAACTGGCTAAAACAAATAAAATAACCGAAGAGGCGACGCGGCAAGCATTGGAAAAAGTAAAACCCTCCCCTACATATAACTGAAAACATCAACTGTGACAAAATCCCAAAACGAGGCCTTTGGAGCCTGAAAGGGKAAATTAGCAACAAAATCCCTGGAGGGGCCCTTAAATAATTTTAATCATAATAAGATCCCTTGACAAGGCCTTTGAGTCTAATCAACACAATAAACCATACAGTCGAACCTCGATTATCCGTACCTCGATTATCCGGACTTTTTCTCTAGTCCCAATTTTGTCATGAATATTTATTACTCATGATCAAGATCCGTAGCAATATTCTTTTTTAAAACTATAGCATTAAAAAGTGCAGTCAAAAGCGAGTTTGTTTTGCTTTTAAGAGCAAAAGCAGCACTCGCACGCGTCGTAACTAATGAAGAACACTCGAATGAGTTCTGATTAGCTCAGAGTTGAGTGGTTCAAGATATACAGTAGACCATATTGTTTTCCAAACGATTTGTGAAAGTGTTGTTTCACGATTAAATGTTGCTTCATTTGAACAGTTTTGTTCTTCATTAATATTCATATTTTCGATTATCCGGACCCTCGATTATCCGGACTATTTCGTCTAGTCCCCAACGAGTCCGGATAATCGAGGGTCGACTGTATTAGGGAACAAGGATGGTTAAGGATGGAGAAGATTGACACGGATTACAAACGACGAACTTGAAAAATTTAGGCTAAACTTTTCAAGATGCGCAAACCGTGACGTTCAACTGCATGTTAAATTCTAAAGAGCTATTTGCGGTGATCGTGCTTAAAATGAATAATGTTCTTTCTTTCTTGTGGAAGGTTTATGTCCGATATTAAAATTGACCCTGTTAATCCCATTAAAAAGTCAGAGTTCATTACGTAAAAACCCCGATGTAACAGGAAATTATCAGTGAAAATGCCTGAGGTAGTGATGAAGCCCCAATGATTAAAAATTGTACTCGTTAATTAACTTGAGCCCGGGACATTCGGATTACAAGTCTACCGCTCTAACTACTATAAGCTAAGCCGCTTCCGTATCAGATATTCCTTTCCATCATACGGAGCCGATGAAGCAATCATATAAAAGAAAACAACCTCGCGAAATGACGTGTGTAGTGCGGCTGAGGTGAAGTCTTCCTCCTTGCACACTTCAGAGCTTTATTCAGCACGCGCAATTCAAAACATTCAACAAGAAATTTTCAAGACTTTGCAAAGATATCAAACTTAATTAAGCTGGTACAAGAGAAGTTATTAAACAAGTTACATTAGGCTGAAGTCGAGAGGAAATTATTTGGCTTTCCGTCTCTCGCAGCTTGCTGTCCGTACGTAAGTCGTTACCTTTTAAGGAAAAGAAAACATGTGCCGTGTTTCTATCGATTTACGGAAACACGATTTTTAACCAATCAGCGCGCTTATTTTCTTAGGACTGTTTTCTAAAAGACAAATATTCCCCTTATGGCTCACCCAGTCAGTAAATAAATCATTATATAACTTACGGGGACAAGGTTCTTCATTGCAAGGTTCTTCTAGAAGTCTTTCACCTTCGCAAACCTTTCCTCCATACAGTGGAGACGGACTGTCGCAAAATCGGTAACGGATTCGCGTTCCACCATTACAGGCCCGCGAGCAATTCGTCCAGCCGGACCAGGAACCCCAGTTGCCATCACGTGGAGTACCAACTAATAGAAAAACCATGATTAAGCAGCTTGAAATCAGAGAAAATTTTACTACCCTATTAATTAATGATCTCCTATTACCCCTGTTCGGTGATACAGTTGTAACTAATTCTTTTAGAAAGTTTAAGTGGATGGAGCCCTCTTTGTATGAACATCAAATAAACAAAAACTTTGATCAGTACTTTCTTACGGTATAGCAAAATAATCGTATTTTAGCGAACGCGCTAGGAAAGCTCCGGAGCGAGCGAGTGAAAACGACGAGGGTGACTGATGTGAGACGTTTTTCGAGGATTAATGCTTTCATCTTTCTCGCCCAACGAAAAACGAAAACGACTGTTTTGCATGTGGTATTGTCGGGAAGGATAGAATTGTTCATTGTCATCCATTGTTTGCTTGTTGACATGAACATCCTAGAGCTTTATTCAAAACGTTACAAAAATGATCAAATGAAGGCAAACCTTTGTCACAAGCCGATGCGGGATCAAAGCCATCCTCACAGGCGCATTGGCCACTGTTGGTACAAACCTAAAGGACAAGGGAGGAATGAAGCAATTTTTTTTAAAGGTACGGATTAACATTTTGCGTTATCATGACCGAATAGCAGGAACCAAAGGGTGCTGTAAAGAGCAAGCAAAATCCAGCCTCTGACGCGTTAGCCTAAGCATTGTAACATCTTATAACATGATATGAGGTTTGGAAAAAAAACGGCGACAACTGAGGCAACGAAAACTTGGCTACTTCGCTAAACAAGAGAATCTACGAGCACTCCAATTGCTCTGTACTTTTGTTATCTATATACATTTCTTAGCCGTCCTCTGAAAACATGGACCAAGTTCTGCATGTTTTTGACAACATATTCAGGGCGCTGAATCGTCCCTAGCCGTCTTCATACAACTTCATACGGTGCACGGCACGGGGCGAGGTGGGAGCGCATGCAGGGTGAGATTACCCCTTGCTCACCTTGCACCGTGCCGCGTGTTGTATGAAGACGACTTGGGGCGAGTCAGCCGGGGCGGCTAATTTTTTGGAATTGTTTATTTAACTGGGGCTAGTTCTTAAGAGATTCTTATGTAAAATATAAATTTTGTTGTCAGCGTCATAAATGCTAAAACTCACTCCGCGTCCTGCACATTCTTTTCCTTTAACGACTCTGCACTTCTTTCGTTGTATTGCTTGACAACTGTTCTCCTTACAAACCTACAAAGCCGGTGATACAAGTATGTAATTAAAATAGAGGTCATACGGAAGAAACCTGCTCAAGATAGAACGACTTCTCATACGCATGATTTTTGCGTCATGATTTATGCATATGCATCACTAAGGGACTGCGAGGGCAAACTGGCTGTTCCACTGCACCGCACCAACTTTCTAAGGAACAGTTTTTAGTTAACAGTATTGTCAAAACGTCGGACTTTCCATCAGATCTTTTAGCACCCAAAATAAGGCAAACTTACCATGATTACACATGATAACAAGAGCGTGAAAACATACTAAAGCTCAACGAAGATTGTTTTTTGTTTAGGTTCTGACTGAATACAAAAGCAGTATGTTGGCTCGATTGGTGAAATTCCTTGACATGAGGTCTTTTAACTAGCTTTTGTCTCACGCGGCAATCAGAAAATCACTCTGCCAATTAAAAACCGATTTATCCTGTTAAATTATTATTAAGATGCCACTTGAGTTTCCAGAGTAATAGTACAGTGCACCAAGTTAATTTTAAAGTTTCTTTTTTCTTTACGTACCTGATTGTCTCCACATTTTGTTCCTTCTTTTACCATTCCTAACCCAAGAAAATCACTTTCATAATTGAGACGGGCAACGCTGCAAAGAGAAAATTATGTTAGTATTCACATGTTTACTCTCGATATGTCTATACTATGATAAAATTTTTTCATTCTCTTTAAAGCTCTCTAAGTCTCTACTCAATATTTGAACGTAGAAGCCTTTATCATGATTGGCTGATAGAGAAACCGACGCTAAAATGCTAGGAGACTTCATACTGATCAACTTGACAAAGACTTTATTGGTACTAAACATAAGACTGGTACTAAACCCTTTTGAAAGAGATAAATTACCAAGTGACATTTTCTGTCTGCTGCATAAATAAGTAAAGATCAATTTTAACATAAATCCCTTAAAAGAGGTCGCCCATAGATTGTGTAAATAAAACTTTACAGTCAGAGAGATCGAAGATTTGGATCATAAGCATTATTACTGAAAAACGTGTACGCGAAGAGTTCGTTCCTTTGGGGCAATCTGGATCAGCTTGTCAGTGAACCAAGATCATTTAAAACATGGTGCATCGAAGGAACTGATGAATCCACTCTGCATAATCACAGATTCATCCGCGCATTTGATGCATTGTGATCCTTGTGATCTTGGATCGTTGACTATGGCCCGGGTTATCCCAGAGAAACGAACACGCAATCTTGATCACTGATCTACTTATTGGCTCATCAATCATAAAAGCTACAAAAGTGTAATTAATTTAAGATTCTTAACAGAAGCCTCCCAAAGTCCATCCCTACGTCCTCGTCGTGGGAGGCGGTAACGGGTAATACCGGCTAACAGGGCTCTGGCAACTGAAACTGGGCGTGCGGCCGCGTGCCCATTGCCGCATAATCTATTGCTACAGAAATTGATGATCAGTGAAGAAACCAATCCTTTAATTTCGGATGCGGTCTCCAGGCAAGATGGATCTAGACGAATGACTGCACGGCACATAAAAAGAACACTTTTTCATGAACGGTTTAGACTGATTGAGCGAACCACATCTGCACTTTGAAATGTCCATACTATATTCTGGGCAGTAAAAACTCATTCAAAGTGCGACTTGGAGAGGATTGCAAGAGTAGGAAAAGGTTTGCAAACAGTGGCCATCATCTTCAAACGAAGCCAAGCATCTCGGGTCTGTTAACGTTTTTCTTAGTACCCGGCTAGTTTTTTTCTTTACATCAAGGCAGTCTACTGTCGCCTGGAAATTCATCTCTCGATATTAGAATCCCATCTCTTTCACGGGTTGAAAAGAGGATGAAGTCCAAACAACGACCATGATAGTCTAATATTGCAGCCACTTCGAAACGAAGAATAAATTTTCTGATCTAATAACGTTTTATGTCGTAGCTTGGTAGCTTTTGCGGGGATATCAAGATATAAAGCTCTAACGTAAAACTTCATCTCTCGATGGTAGAATCTCATCTCTTCAACAGGTAAAAAACAAAATAATGTCAAACATCGGCAGTGTTAGTCTGATATGGCCCCCATCTTGAGACGAAGTCCAACATTTAAGGTCTAATAGCGTTTTTCTTAGTACCTGGCTAGTTTTTTTTCTTTACAACAAGGAAGTCTACAGTCGCCTGGAAATTCATCTCTCGATATTAGAAACCCATCTCTCTCACGGGTTGAAAAGAGGATGAAGTCCAAACAACGGCCATGATAGTCTAATATGGCCGCCATCTTGAAACGAAGTGTAAATATTCTGGTCTAATAATTTTTTATGTAGTAGCTTGCTAGTTTTTGTGTGGATATCAAGATATAAAACTGTAACGTAAAACTTCATCTCTCGATGGTAGAATCCCATCTCTTCAACAGTTGAAAAACAAAATGATGACAAACATCGGGAGTGTTAGTCTGATATGGCCCCCATCTTGAGACGAAGTCCAACATTTCAGGTGTAATAGCGTCTTTCCTAGTGCCTCGCTAGTTTTTGTCTTTACATCAAAGCAGTGTACTGTCTCCTGGAGCTTTATCTCTCGATATTAGAATCCCTTCTCTTTTACGGGTTAAAAACAGGATGATGTCAAACAATAGCCATGTAAGTCTAATATGGCCGTTATCTTGAAAGGAAGTGGAGGTTTTTTTTGGTCTAATAACTTTTTATGTAGTAGCTTGGTAGTTTTTGTATGGATATCAAGAGATAAAACTTCCACGTAAAACTTTATCACTCGATGGTAGAATCCCATCTTTTCAACTGGTGAAAAAGAGAATGTTGGGAAACATGGGCCATGTTAGTCTAACTCTGGTCGCCAACATCAAGTCACCCCCAAGCTTTTGAACGCCGTAAGCGCTTAACGACCGTTACGCAGCTGGGCACACCATCATTATTTAAAGACGACAAGTTAAAAAGCGCAAAAATCTGAATTACCTGCACTGAGCTCCAGAAGGATGAGGTATCTTCTTATATTCCACGCCGTAATCGATATCTGGCTTCTGTCGCACACTGTCTGTACACTGAATTTGTCCACACATAACATCTCTAAAATGATAGGATTTAAAATTTTCTTTATACTTGAAATTAAGGGAGACACGGTGAAACAATGACTAGAGTACTAGACTACGACTTTAGAGGTCCGGTTTAGAGTCCTGAACGGAGTCACTGGCATTACATTTCTGTGGAGGGCACCACTTAGGCGCAGAGCAAACACTTCTAGAAACTTTGTACTTTGAGAATAAGAAACCAGGATTAAATTCAGCCTGTTGAGCAATTAGGCACCCAAAGACCCGAAAAGGCTTCACTTTATACATTAAATTTCATGTTAAAATGAAACGTGTTAGTTGTTAACCACGGCCAAAACAACACTAAATCAATGCAAGCAATTTGCCATGGCCAGCTTTAGATGAATGCAATCAGATTCAAATTCCAGGGCAAATTAGGTAGTGACTTCATTTCTATATAGAAATGACATGTTTAGACTGAACTAACAAGCGCATATTACAAAGGATGGTGGGACCAAAACGAACACGGAGATTGGTTGTTAATTTTATTTTCGGCTTCAAGTGAAAAACGTCATTGTACGTTTGTTCTAAAAAATTACCAGTTTTAAATTGCTTCCCGCGTAATTACTCCATACATCTATAAATTAATCTTCGTCAATTCTTGGTTATATTGTTATTAATAACACAACTCACTGCTATGGATCATCTAACCTTTTCGCACAGGGTTTTGGTTTTGCGGCATCGCATGTCCCGTATGGCGTTCCTTCTGAGTTGTATTTTTCCCAACATGCTTTCCCGGCTGAACGGGCAGCTTCAGGTNTTGTCCACACATAACATCTCTAAAATGATAGGATTTAAAATTTTCTTTATACTTGAAATTAAGGGAGACAGGGTGAAACAATGACTAGAGTACTAGACTACGAGTTTAGAGGGCTGGTGTAGAGTCCTGAACGCAGTCACTGGCATTATATTTGTGGGGAGGGCACCATCTAGGCGCAGAGCAAGTACTTCTAGAAACTTTGTACTTTTGAGCATAAGAAATAATAAAAATTGTGAGCATAAATTCAGCCTGTTGAGCAATTGGGCACTCAAAGACCCGACAAGACTTCACTTTACAGATTAAACTTCGTGTAGCGAGAAACGTTTTAGTTGCAGCTGACTACGGCCAAAACAACAATAAATCACGCAATGCATGCAATTTGCCATGGCCAGCTTTAGATGAATGCAATCAGATTCCAAGTTCCAGGGCAAATGAGCTAGTGACTTCATTTCTATATAGAAATGACATGTTTAGACTGAACTAACAAGCGCATATTACAAAGGAAGGTGGGACCAAAACGAACACGGAGATTGGTTGTTAATTTTATTTTCGGCTTCAAGTGAAAAACGTCACTGTACGTTTATTTCAACAAATTGCCAGTTTTAAATTGCTTCCCGAGTAACTACTCCACATATCTATGAATTTAATCTTCATTAATTCTTGGCTATATTGTTATTAATAACACAATTCATCGCTACGGATCATCTAACCTTTTCGCACAGGGTTTTGGTTTTGCGGCATCGCATGTCCCGTATGGCGTTCCTTCTGAGTTGTATTTTTCCCAGCATGCTTTCCCGGCTGAACGGGCAGCTTCAGGTNGGTGGGACCAAAACGAACACGGAGATTGGTTGTTAATTTTATTTTCGGCTTCAAGTGAAAAACGTCATTGTACGTTTGTTCTAAAAAATTACCAGTTTTAAATTGCTTCCCGCGTAATTACTCCATACATCTATAAATTAATCTTCGTCAATTCTTGGTTATATTGTTATTAATAACACAACTCACTGCTATGGATCATCTAACCTTTTCGCACAGGGTTTTGGTTTTGCGGCATCGCATGTCCCGTATGGCGTTCCTTCTGAGTTGTATTTTTCCCAACATGCTTTCCCGGCTGAACGGGCAGCTTCAGGTAAATGATAATACAAATTAATTACAAAGCCTAGACTTAAGGCGTTGTCCTTTCTCACTAAAGGAAAGGAGGGTATTCCCAATCCTGTTCGGTTTGTTACTAAGTTACTTCTCTTTCTTAATAATCAATGACATGGTTGTAAGGTACAAAGAATATAAATTAGTAGTGACATATTCTCTGCGTGCGATGTGCGATTTTTATCTCTGATATATGGCAACGACCCAATAACCACAAACGAGAGAGGTAAACTCCTGTAAACAGTGTAGCTTTCCAGATAACGGTGTAAAACTTGTCCCTGTTGATCGACCTAGCCTGGATTACTGGCGTAGCAACTTCCCTCCGTAGCACGTTTTGATATGGTTTTCTTGGGTTAAACGTTACATAAACGTTTCTTTACTATTCATCAGTTGGGAGATACTTACTTCCTCCCCATAGATCAGAACACTGGGTGTCCGCTGTGTCGGCACACTTCCCAAGGTGACAGTAGGACTGCAAATTAAAGATAAACTTTGATGAACGATCAATCAGCCAATCAGTGAGCGGGAGGACTAATGATGAGGGGAGGTACCCTGCGCGTCAAGCGTAACGCGGAAGGCTTGAAGGGGAGGCTATGAGCAAGGGAGAGTGAAACAAATGAACGAGGGAGCGAGTTGGGGAGTCATTAAGTACGTTCAGTCAAAGTCGGAGATTAATCAATTAATAAATCGTTTGCCTTCAGAGTTAGTGTAACGTGGACGAAGGAAAACTATTGGCATACAGAACACAGCACAACACCGAAGCTCACACGCTTCGTGCACACTCACTCTGTGGAAGCGCAACGATTCACTAGGGCAAAGGCCCCAGCTACATTAGTCAAAAACGATTGCTGTGCATCATACATAAAGTAATTCTCTGTTAAATGGAGTCCAAGAATACTTCTTTTAGTCTCGCCATATTAAATATCTTCGTTACACCCAAAATTATGCAAAACTAGAACGAATTCGTCAGCTACTCGACAACAAACACTTGAACGATATCTGAATCTGACACGAGAGGGGAAAGTTAGAAGAACAAACTCTTACATTAGCCTCTAGTTTATCTCCACTCTCACTGTAGGCCTTCCATTCTTTTCCATCTTGACTATACCAGAGGTAATACCCTTCAACTAAGTCCCATTCTTTCCCTTCAACCGCGACTCGTGTAACCATTTGAACCTGCGAAGAAGATACGAAAATTATATATATGATTTCACAATACAAGTGGTATTTTAAAAATTAAAATTAATTTAGTAATTAAATTTAATAATACAAATTATTCAAATTTAATGATTAAAATTATTCTTCAAAGAAACTGCCTGATCTTGGAGAGGTAAAGTTAGTAACGTCATTTTATCAAATCTCGTTTTAATGTCAACTCCAGACAACTGTTTTTAGAGACAGAAAGCCCGTTGTGCTTCTCGGGTGAAGAAGAACATGTTAAAATTTTACACGCCAGTTGATATCTTTACAGTATTTTTTAATTATTTTTTTTTCGATACTTTTTCCGAATCTGTTTTTGGTGGCAAGTAGATAATTCATATTCAAGCGATGCTCAGATGCCTCATTTTAAGTCATATATTTAGCAACCTAAGGAAAACTTCTTCTTAACTAAACTGGAGGAATAAAACCTTCTTCGGCCTAGATACTACCAGCGTAAAGTAATATCAGGGCTTTAGAAGTGTTAGTAAACACAACACCACACCTTTCCAAGGTCGATCTGTAGATATTCGTCTTTATCGCTTTTATCATTTGGTTTACCACACCAGGCCTTGGGTCCATTGAGACGAGCATACTTAGGCAACCACTCATCACTGAGAGTAGATGAAGCAGTCAGCTGATTGTCTCTGACGTCACCGCGCGATATGCCAAGAGAAAGAGCACAATCTGCGGAAATATATGAGGAGTATGCCTAAACCAAACAGGATAATAAACAGAAGCGCAAGAGATTTTCGTTCATTTCATGTTGTCGATCGTAAATTTTTGAAAGGGCTTTTGAAAACCTTCACTACAATTTGGGATCTTGCCCAGGAAGACATTACATGTGCAAAGCTTGCATAATGGAATATCAAACCAAACATATGTCTTGGACGGAAGATTTTGCCGTCTGTGTGCGTGCCAGCCTAACCAGCACATTCACAGCCATCTTCTTTGAGCCAAGCTGCACGCAAGGCCTCCACGCTCTTCCACCATGAGGACCATGAGCATCTGAGCTCCATCAGTCGCGGCGGGTACACCAAATAAATAAACCAAACAATCTCCTCAGCCAAATTAAATTAAAGAAGCTATATCACGGTTTGCTCATCTTGAAAAGTTTAGCCTAAATGTTTCAATTTCGTTGTTTGTAATCCGTGAATCTTTTCCATCCTTAACTATCCTTGTTCCTTTTTGATTTATTATCATCTCTTTGGTGTTATGCTATCTTGTACGTGGTCAAAGTATGATGACTGAGCTCCCTTAAAAATGATATTACCAAAGTCTTTTTAACTTTTTATTGAAGCATAAATCAAACGTAAGTGTAGTGATTACCTTGCTTCATGAATGTTACTTTAGTACGTTCCTCGTCACATCCTTGCCATAAACAACATTCCACTCCTTCTGCAGGTGCACCTCCATAAAGATGGAGACATTTACCAGTCGGTTTGTGTCGTAAAGAATGAGCTATTGAAAATCAAAAAAGAAAAAATGCATTTACATCAGGAAAAACCAACTCAATTAGCCTCATCGACCTTACGTTTAATCTTAGTCCGAGAACTTAACTTGAGAGAAACTTAGAAGCATTAACGCAAGGTGGCCAAACGTAATTGGCAATGAATAGCTGCTAAGAAGGACTAACATGAAAACGATAGTAACATAACAAATTGGCAAGAAATGGCGTTGGATTGGCCACACGCTCAGAAGAGATAGCAAAAATGTTGCAAGACAAGCCTGGAACTATCAGCCACATGGAAAGAGGAAAGTTGGACGGCTGGGGAACAACTGGAAGCGTTCTATGCTGCAGGGGTTGAAAAGAGTGGGCTGCTCCTGAGAGAGAGTCAAAGCACTGGCAGAGAACTGAGCATGTTGGAGGGTACGGGTGGACGCCCTATGCTCCCCCGGGGGTGATAAAAGATAATGAAGATGAATTCTTAAGTACAAGTTTAAGTACAAATGTACTGGCAAATGGACAAATCATACCGGCAGTTCTTTCAAACTTGGCATCTTGAGGCTGGCATTTGCTGCTAATCATAAGCTCACATCTCTTTCCTTGAGCTGGCTTTCGCTGGCACACCATCTTGCCACTGCAGTGATGTTTAAGGGTGCCATCCGCTGACAGAGTAAACTGCATGAATGGTTGATCGCAAGGCTTTGATTTAGTGAGCACAAGAATAGTTCCATCAGGAGGCTGACATTTCCCTCTCTGAGGCTTGATACACATTCCGCTTGCTTGTAGGAGAGGGGTCGGGGCCGAAGGTTGCGCTGCAAGCCAGCAGTGAAAAAAATTTGTAGACAAAATTAAAGTACAGTCGAACCTCCCATAACGGCCACTTCGCTACAACGGCCGCGTTTTTCCGTCTCGGCGGACAGGCCATACACATTCACTCTTATTTTAACCCCTCAACAACGGCCACCTCTCCACAACGGCAACGGCCACTAAAACTCGTCCCAACTGCCAAAATATCCTCTCGACAGATTCCAGTTAATCAACGACTGACGAGTACACAAAATCCCATTTTTTATTGTAAACGGTGACTAAAATTGATCCACACGTACCGCGCGCCGTTGGTCTCTGTTTCTGTTAAGTTTCTGTTTTATTGATACATTTTGATTTAAACTTTCCTCTGTTCCCAAGGTGTCCGTTGTGGAGAGGTTCGACTGTAGACGTAAATTCTTGCAATTAGGGAGCTTAAGCACGCGCGTTTTTGAGACGCGGACGGCAACCAGAAGAGAAGATTTCGCTTGCTAGGACAGTATTGTCTCCCAGATTTTTTATACTACTTATCTCTAATGAAGAAAAGATACTTAGCAATGTGAATATGGTTGTGTGAGGACAAGTTAAAAGTGAAAGTAGCTCACTTCCGGCTACCGTCTGCGTCTCAAAAACGCGCGTGCTTAAGTTCCCTAATAATTTTCCTCTTTACACGTAGACAGCCATCTTACCTTGTTCTCCTGAACAGCCATACAATTCTGTATTGAGGCACATCAGCGAATAGCTCCAATACTGAGGGTTTATCCTGAAATACTGCGCCTCGATCGGTGGATTTAGCACAGTGTTCTTAGTCTGATCTTTGGTCGTTGGTCCGACAAGAAGCTGAAGAAAATTCAGATTTCAACAATTACATAATCCAAACAGTTTTTCTCTAGGGCGTAATTGGTTAGTGCCATTATTAACTTTATTTCCCCGTCTCCCCATGACTTGCAAAAACGCCACCAATCTGTGTACGAAACAGTAACCAGACCGAGATCGAAACAAGAGAAACTGTGTAGTATTTTAAGAGGATTGTGGTTAATTATACATTTTCCTGGGAAATGAAATTGTAGAGGCAGTTTTTGTCCTAAGTGCATGCCATGAGAAATTAGTGTTTTCAATGCCNTGCCTTCAGAAGATGGAGTTGCTGGAATCTTTTGGACGAACTGACAAGAGTCCAGGACGGTGTATTTTCGAGAACGGAAAATCTTGTTTGAAACCTTTGTAGAATTTTCACAGTCCAAGCTACAAACAAAAGAATTACCACCAGTCTAATATGGTCCGTTTTCGATATTTTCCGATCAAATAATGGATGGACATTTTTTCATCTCCGGCTTGTTGAAATTGTTGTCATTCTTTTAATTTGCCCAACAAGGAAGTCATGTTTGTTCCACAAGCAGACTACTTCTTTGTGCCTTAGGTTTGCGGAATCAGTGTTCTCCCCACTTGAGAGAAACACCTCGTACCGTTTATCGTGAGCAACAAAAAAAAAAAACGATTTTGGCGTCCGGTTGAAGGAATATAAAGCCTCCCTTGCTGCCAGGCTAGAAATTCGGAAATATGATAGATTTGTCCTTCGTGGCACACATATGAATGAGGACTTCTTTGAAGGTGTTTTGAGCCAGCATTAACATCCGTCTCTTTTAAGTTTTTAAGTTTTTTTCTTCGCCAAATGCGTTTGCAGCCACGAGATGATGTCGATGAATAATGGATGAAATCAATGACTAATCAATGCAATCAATGACTAATCGATGCAATCGATGCCTAATCGATGACCAAAAATTTTGTGGCCCATCGATTAGTCATCGATTACTCATTGATCATCGGCAATAATCAATGACTAATCAACTGATTACCTATCGATTACCTATTGATTACTCATTGATTTCATTGATGTCATTGATGTCATCGATTAGTTATATCTGGTGATAAAGATAGTCAACCATTCGCATCCGGCTTAATTGCATGGAAGCGTATTGTCCACTTCAAGACAGTAACAAGTATTAAAAAGATACAACTTGAATCAGTTTCAGAGCAGGAAACTGACTATCTCGTGTAGTTCTTTTTGCATTTTCAAAAAACGTTCCCTTCAAAATTTCAGCTCAGGGCTAATTTTTGAGACATTCGCGACAACCTGACCTGTTCAGGATATTCCCAGTGAATTTATGGCGAGTCTTATACAAGAAAGACTTTTGAGAAGAAGGTTTCTTTGTATGGAATGAGTTTAACTATACGATTGATATAAATGTTAATGTTATGCGGTATTTTACTTACATCTCCTTTGTCTCCTGGGCAATACTCTGGTACATCGCAGTCGCCCTCACTAACGCGACATAAGATACCGTGAGGTTTAAACTGCAATAACGATCACGGCAGACAAGAGAAAAGGGTGGTTATTTGCAAACATTACAAGGGTTAACACCAAACAATGTCAAAATTCGTGGCTTTATACCGTAAGCCGATGTAAAAACGTAAGGATGTAAAAATCTAGAATGACAAGCCTTTTTTTAATCCTGGTGCCTCATAGGGTATGGTATGAAACCGGAAATTATGACAAGAACTATACCTGTCGTTTTGGAATTGAATAGGTACGGGTTGAGCTCATTTCAACACAGATTCGCTTCTATAAAAGTACGCTGTAAAACGCGACAATACAGAAAGGAGGGAGATATAAGCGCGTAAACAGTGGGTCTTCTTTCGATCTCTTTCCAAACCTTGGGAACCGCTGCGGAGAAGAGGGGTGTGATAGAGCCAACGCGCCCGTAACACTGGTAACTTTCAGGTTTTTCTCGAAACATTTCGACGATGACCTTCGTCACTTTTATCACACTAACATCAGGACTTTATTTTCCCGTTGGATTAAGACTCAGCTTTCATCAAATATAATTTTACAGGATATTCTATTGTACAATATAAGCAATGCCGTTAAAACTCACCACACATTCTTGACAGCAAGCATGATTCAGCACACTGCACTGCGAGCCAGGCTTCAGCTTACAGCCCTTGGCTTCACAACATGGATCTCGCTCCAGGCAATCCTTAAAGAAAAATAAGTAAAGAAAAGAGCAATAAATTGTGAGCAAGAACTTTTTCATAATCAGGAGCTCGAAAGGGAGGCTGCCTTGAACCTACAAACAATAGGCATCCTTATCTCGTACAAGTTATATTCGAAAGTGATCATTGGTATGAGCTATTTCGAGAACCTTCAAATGAAATATATATTTGTTATCAAAAATGAAGAGTGTAATAATTAAACTGGTTGATTATTATTTCATCAGAGTTTTTCTTAACTGCAAAGTTAATCACACCTCTTCGCTTCCGCAGTCGCATTCCTCTCCTTGTTCCACGAGTCCATTCCCGCATCTCGGTCTTATTTCCTGTAAATTAAAAGAGAAAAATATTTTTATTCAACTGAAAAGCTCAGCAGTGAATAGGACTGCGTTACGCTGACTGGATTTGTGGTGAAAGTGGTAATTTAGAAATTCCTCTTCTTGTGTTTTTCCTTTCTTTGTCCACCAACTGAAAGTCTCGAGGATGAGCAGCTAGCCTAGTAAACAGTTAAGGGTCTACACGAAAATATTTTGGTTGAATGTTTACCTTTGTACTATCTAATGGTTTGTGACCCATAATCGCTTTGATCCTTGACAATAGCTTTTTAAAAGCGCATCTTAAGAGCTATGTATAAAGTGCGCAGCTCGATTTCGCTGTTCTCGTCCGGTCGCGTTCCTAAGTTGCCAGTTGGGTGGGAAGCACGGACTCCTTTCCCGCACAGCGGCCAGAGTCTTAATGTAAGTGGCTCTTGATAATTTAACTTGAATGTCATCCATGCTTATTCATCGTTGTTAGCCCATCAAAGTCTTCCTCAGCGTTGACCTTCTTTGTTTTACAGAATAATCTAACTGTAAAACTCCGAAAGTAACGACCAACCCCAACAGAAAGTAAGAAAGAACTGCTGTAGCATTTTAGTAAAAGACTAGCGATTTGTTTTAATTTCTGCCTTATTCTATCTTTTTCTTTTTTTACCTTTGAGATTTCCTGCCACTAGTAGTTTTGTCCGTGGTGTAAAAAAAAAATTATAATACACTGTGGCAGTGGTCCTTAAATGAAAGTTAAAAAGGTATCGCAGATCTGTTTTCTTAACAGATGACCTAGAGGCAACGCCTTGTAGTTGATCTATGTTTAGTCACGAAGCTTAGGGTGTAACGAAATCTCAGACTTGCGTTGGTGGATACCTGTTCCAAAGATAGACGAACCTTATCTTAAAATTGAAAAATTGAAAAATTTCAAGCGATATGAAAACAACTAGTGACTTTATTATTAAGAAACAAAAGAAATCAAAAGCTGAGCTGCTGCTCATTTCAGTGTCAGAAATAACCGGTACAAATAAAACACTTGTTGCACGGCCGGGCGAACATTCCTGAGATATCGGTTGCAGCGGGGGTTCCGTTCTTATCATTAAACTGTATATTCAGACACTGGTGTGACTGTCCTTGGTTGTGACTCAGTAACAGCGTATTAATCGCCTTTAATCAAATGCTTATAACCAATACTTATAGGACATTAGTTAGCTGAGCGAGTTTTGACGACATTTTGCCGTTTTTACTGAAATCGGCGAGACAGAACCCAGTATTCGGCTGAAAGGCCCGTCACGCTATGTAAACTTCAGACAACCTTGTTGAACTGAGCATTTGTTTCTGGCGAAAACACGCTATTTCTTTCGCGGCGTTTAGACGAGTTGTTTTCCATGGAACAGCAGTCATATAATTTTTATTTACGGCTAACACTATAAAACAAGTATCAGACAGATTGGAACAACTTTTCGCCGCGTGATTTTATTATCAACGTAATTATAATGGTGTGTATAGTTGTAGGGGATTCCATTCATTGTTAAAATCTAACAACTCATTTGTTTTGTGGATTTGATTGGACATTTGTGTTTTAAATGACAACATCTTGACAAATGCCAAAATTAAATGATGCAACTAGATGAGACCTTTGTTTGATAACTGTGCCAGAGCCCGGTGTCATATCATTCCAGCCAAGCCCTCTGAGCGAGAGCTTTGCAAGAACGCTGTGAAAAAAGGAAGGGAAGTCTGTGGAAAGCATGTCGAAAATCAGCGAAGACCAAATGTCTGAATTCCGAGATGCGTATTGCCTTTTCGATCGTATTGGCGATGGCAAGATAGACGGCGAACAAATCGAAGATATGCTGCGTTCTATGGGGCTGAACCCTCTAGGCTCGGATCTCAAACAAGTCCGAGAAGACTTCAAAGACGAGAGAGTCGAATTCGAGGAATGGCTTGGAATCTATACACAATTCTGCACTAAGCCAGAGCCAGTGAGAGAGGATTTCATCGAAGCATTCAAGTGTTATGACCGAGATGGTTCAGGAACGATCGATGGAGCTTCGCTGCGAGGACTGCTGTGTCTTCGGGGAGACAGTAAGCTGACGGAAGATGAAGCTAACAAGTTGCTTGCCCCGTTAGAAGATACTCAGAAGGGTGTAATAAACTACGAGGAGATCATCAAACTGGTAATGTCAAGGCCAGAAAAGGCTGAGTGATAACAGACTTTATTGCCGCACCTCTCAGATGCGAACATTTATCTGAACAGAACTGCCTGATGATTTCACTGATCTTTTTGATTTAATTACCCACAAACTTCTAATCAAGTGGTATTGCCTAGATGAAATATTGTAATTTTAATTCGTCTTCTTTGACAGAAAATTAGAAGTCTCTTGCAACTCTGGTACAGATATAGTTTTATGCATTTTTACTCCTTTGTTTATTAATTATGAGTTCAATTTTGATGGAGTACATGGAGGTAGCTAATGGTCTTTAGGGACAGCGCTTTACGCTGATGGTTTCTTCGACCTAGAAAAAAGAAAGAGCTGGAATAAAACTTTCTTTGAGAAACTGCGATAATTATTTTGTTTGACTCGAATCTAGGCCATTGATGCCTGTTGTTTCTATTCCGAGTCTGGTCCATTTAATATTCCTTGTCAAGAACAATAGCCGGCTTTTTCTTTGGGTGTGACTTACGGAAACGTTTATCTGTAAAATCGGATGTTTCGAAACGAGCAAGAACTGTTAAGCTAAGAATCGATTTGAATGTACTCTATAGTTGTTAGGATGTAGATATGTGCTTAAAGTGTATTTATGTCAAGTTTTATTCCGTTGGATTTTTTTTAAGGCTAACAGACTGCTTGTTCGAAGATAAGGGAATGTTCTGCTGAGTGACTAACTGATTGCTTCGGGGACCCTGTACTATAAACAAACCACAATCAATGACATTTCGTTGGATTGCGTGACCAACCCGCCAAAGTGTATGTTGTGTAATGACAAGGTTATCAACGTGACGTAGAGCTTTTACGAGCAAATGCATGTGCAATGAGGCAAGCTATTAAATGAACACTGTGGAACAGGAGTATTCGAAAAAGATAACTTTTGCCAAAATCGGAAATCGGAACGCTAAAGGCCAAACCGTTTTTGACCCTCACTTAAATTTATTTGAAGTACCAGACGTGTTAAATTATGCCACAGACATGCTTTGACCTTAGAGAGAAGAGTCTGAACCATTTCCAGGGTGCGACATTTCTTAAAGAGTTAATTGAGTACGAGTCGAGATTGAAAAGTACGAAGAACGATCGAATAGACAGCGTGAAGTGAGACTGTCATTTGCAGAGCGAGCGAGAGAGGGCGAAAGTTCGGTTGCTCGCCGGAGAAGCGAACGACTTAAAGAAAATCTAGGAATCTATCATAAGGTGCACGTGGTGAAGAGCAACATGGAAAAATCAGCAGAAATTTGACCGTATCAGAATGTAGATATCACTGGATGAGGGCCATTGGTCTCTCATTCAATCCTGTCTCTCTTGATCTTATAGTCTAAAGAAGTATTTTCTTTTCTGATTACCTTTCTTTCCTTAAATGTTGCGTTTGAAAATTTTAGATGTAGATCAATAAGATCCTTATATTGCTTCTTTTCTTTATGCTCGTCACTTAATGCCATTTGTTCCGGCGCGCAATTCCCATTTTAAGTCGGCCAGTTCTTGCCCAGAAACATGATTCAGTTGTGTCCAAGAGAAAATGACTCTTGCGGTTTCTCATCAACTCACCTCCTTTGGTCTGTCATACAAACAGAAGTCGTTCACCTTAGCAAGACTTTTCATGCTGCAGTCTGAAAATCCTGCCACACGGGTCCTGTTTCATTGACAACAAAGACAGTCAAGGGTAAAAAGAAGTTAATTTTTCTGGGCTTCATCCTAAAACAAAAACGAGGCTTACAGCCCCCTCCCTCCCTGGGGTCCTAGTTCCCCTCCGGTCCTCTAGGTTTCCCTATTATAGATTCTGTGTTGACAACAAAGAGACCCCATGGTCCTCTTAAAAGGAACTAAAAGGAGGGGTTCAGGTTCTATGACTCTATCCGTCAGTGTGTAATCTAAGAGTTCTAAGGGACTATCATCAACATTGTTTTTGTCTGAGGTCTAAAAAGAGAGAAACGCTCAAGTTGGGCGCTTTGGGCTCAGGCGTCTAAAACAAAGCCTATAGGGTATTCCCACCCTCGTATTTGTTTTGGACCTTGCTATGAAAAGCCAGTTATGAGTTTCTTCAGAGAATGTTGTTCTCGGTAACGCTTCCTATATTTTAAATGCTAGATCCTGCACAGAAACAATGCTATAGTGAGTTGTTCCGCTGTGTCATCTCCTTATAGATCAGAGGATTAAACGTTAAGTCCTCACAGAGGAGCCAAAATTAACTATGGACGTGGACATTTAAGATCAGTTAATTGCGATAGAGGATGTCTCTGCATTATTTCATCGACAATACCAAAATGAATGTCATGAGGTACTCACTTGTGTCCACCCATGATACAGCCTCTGGGAGTCAGACAAGTACATCCGCCAATTTCTATCGGGAAAAATTCAAGTTAATAATTTAACTGAGATAACTAAGATCAGTTATTGGCGCACAGCCATTGATACCCTTGACTTCGCAAGTATCCTTTTAGATGTGAGTTATGAGGAATATGAAGCTACGTTTTGGATTTTTGTAACGCGTCTAAACCACAGTTGGAAGACGTCGTTTTCTCGCAATGGTTAAATACCAACCTTCATCGTGATCCATTCCAAAGTTGTGTCCCATTTCATGAGCTGTGGCTATCCACGGTCCCACAGAAATGTAGTGATCCCACTACAATAATTAAAATACACGGTGGAAAAAGTCAACACGAGTTTACACTACTAACACGATTTTTTTTTTCTTCTTGCATTCGGTAAACATATGCAAAACTATAATTGTTCTTTTCTAGTTTCAGTTTAGTTGAAATTGAAGGATATCGCAAAATACTACTTAAGCCTCTCAGTGCGCAATTTTAGCCCCCAAAAGGGCGCAATCAGGTGCTGGAGGTTATTTTTGGCCATTGTTACATTGAAAACTTGTCAACATTGTGGTATAGTGCGCATACAGAAAGTTAATTTTTTAACGGTTTTTGAACAAAAAAAAAAGCAACAGGAGATCCCTGACAGCGCCAGTTAAGGCTTTTCGTCTTTCGTTCTTCACTTCCTCTTTGTACCACACTCTTTTGTAGCCTGTTTTCCTTCTAGTGGCCTTAAACGTTAGACAACTTGTAATTTCATCTGCGGAACAACTAACAAAGAGAAAACGGAAACACAAAGAGAAAACGTAAGCACTAGAAAGTGTGAATGGATAGTCGGAGAATGCCGAAGGCTTTCTTCGATTTTCAGGAGACAAATTTGTAGGTTCAAAACGTGGATCTCTGTCCCGATTTCTCTCATCGCGCCTTTAAGCATGCTTTGTTGTAAGCTTTTGTAAGACTATTTCCTCCTTCATCAACTGATCATTAAAAAAAAAAATTTTGAGAAAAGTGCTGACAGCACAAGTGGTACAAGGACCATGGCCCGCTTACTCGGTCCGGATTTCGTCGGGTTTAGCAGTCAGAACGTTAAAGTAAAAGGACACGTTCTATTACCGACACTATTCCAGAAGAGCTTTCAGTACACATGCCATATAATGCTGCCATTCCTGCAGCATCGGTCCAGCTGTTATTACTGTGATGAGAGAGAGTAGTGATAGTAATAAAAATTTAATAATAATTTATTTAAAGTCGTGACACAGGAAGCGGTTGCCCATTCTCCCGAGTCAGGGGCTCATGATAAAAGTGCTCAAAAAAAAAGTAAAATAAAGTACGAAACGAATGTGAATTGAGAAAGACAAAAAGAGTAATCATAACATGTACGTAAACGATGGTCAAATTGTTGTTTGAGGTTAGGTTTTACCCATGGAATTGATATACATAGCTGCGTTATTGAATCTCTATAAGTACCAACGTCCATCTGGTGACCATCCATATTATTTAGATTTTTTTTTTTTTTTTTTCAAAAAAAAAAAAAGGATTTAAAGGAAATTTAATTTCTTTAGATTTAGCTCCTGTATGGCTTTGAAAGAGAACCCTAAGAGTTCCATAACATGTAACAACAGTGAAAATTCGGCGCCATGGAAGATCCTAAGCGACACCAAAACACAATTTTCATCTTCTTCACTACCTTGCACTGCCATGTAAAATGTGCCCTCCTCCCTCCCCAGAAAGTATGGCAAATTGTTAGGAGAAATTTTAGTTCAATCACCACTCACCACATCAGCTGTGCGTTATCGTGATCAGGAAAGGTTTTCATCAGCGTGTTCTTGCGATATTTTGCAAATCTGTCGTAGTATTCGCCTGCAATTTCACTTCTGACAATTTTATCGCCATTGGTCCAGAATTCCATAGCAACCAGGACGATTCTGATGTTGATTTTGCTGTAAATCTGAAAGAAATTCTTACTTACAACTAGAACATGTGCGTATGTTACCTTATAGAGCTGTTTCGACAAAGAGAAGCTGAGGAATGAAACATTGGCGAGAGCGCTCGCCTCCCACCAATATGGCCTAGGTTCGATATCGGCCGGTGCCATATATGTATTTGGGTTGAGTTTGATGTGAAGTTTATATGAAATAATTCATATAAGAACTGCGGTTGTAGATGAAAGTGAAGAATGATCATCGCAGTAAATTTTCCAATTTAAGNCAATTGGAAAGAAGAAGCCTGAAAAAATCAGGGCTTCAACGGGATTCGAACCCGTGACCTCCGCGATACCGGTGCCGGTGCGATGCTCTACCAATGAAGCCACACATTGGGAGCGAGGTCAATTTATTGAGTTCATATCTTCCCGTGAGTAGTGAAATGATGTGACGTTTATATGAAATAATTCATATATGAACTGCGGTTGTAGATGAAAGTGAAGAATGATCATCGCAGGCTTCTTCTTTCCAATTGCTTAAATTGGAAAATTTACTGGCATGCGATGATCATTCTTCACTTTGGGTTGAGTTTGTTGTTAGTTCTAGCCTTGCTCCGAGGGTTGTTCTCCGGGTTCTCCAGTTTTCTTCCCTTCACAAAAACCAACCTCTCCTTTCGAATGGTCGAATTTAAATTCCAACATCATAAAGGACGCGCATGAAACCCAGCTAAGGCTGAGTGGCTTCATCTCTAAATATTGTAATTTATTTTTTATTTTATTTTTTTGATTTTTATAAGGTAAAAGCGTAAAAGCGTACGCGACCACGCCGGCCCCTGGTTATGGGTAGTACTAGTTTGGCGTTGCTTGCATGATTGAGGTTCCCAGCATGTTTCCGCAAGAAGGACGCGGAAGTTTAAAACATACGTGCTAGCGCTTGTGCTGTTTCCTTCTATCACAAAGACACACCTTGAGCTTCAATTTAACAAATTGACGTCAGTTTTTCATGCGCCCGTCCTGTTAATGATCATGAATTTCGTCATAACATTGTCAAAGTAGCTGTTGTTCCACGAGGCGATAGCCAAGATGACAAATTGTCAAATTGTCTGTTCTCGCTCGTTGACGCATCGCCTAAATTATAAATCCATGTATCTGTTCGCTTATTGACATTGAAAATTAGCCACTGAGCGCGCGAGAATTTCTGCAGTTATCGTAAAACAAGCAACCGTAAGTCATCATTACCCATAAGACTTTTCGACATTGTCGTGTACGCTTTTGCGCTTTTGTAGTTAGAAACTAGGTACATTCATATTTTGATACAAAAGAGCGTGCAGGTAGAGTGCCACTTAGGCTGATCGATAGTCAGTGGACTGAGTACTGCAAAAGAGGATGTATCACCTTCCTCTTTTTGAGACCATTTTTTTACGGCGGTTGCGTCCACCGTCTTCCTAGTTCATCCAAAAGCGTAATCACTGTAACTCCCTCTAACACGTTAATTCGGACTAGTTCAGCTTCCTTTATGAGATAACTGTCCATCTCTCTCTACAACATACCAGATTTGCACCATAGACTGAGTTGAATTCAAATACGGCCCCATAAGCTATAAAACTTTAAAACCCACCGTGTTTAAATAAAAGATGTTGTTGTTGTTGTTGTTGTTGTTGAATTAGATTTCAATTTTACAAGGCAATCAGTGGATCGGGCTGTCATGTTTTCTGAATATCTATTTAGGTGATAAGTTATGTTTTTTTTATTACCTTATCAACAGCATTTACCAAGGTTATCATGCGATTGGTTACTTCTTCTTCCTCGTTTCCGAAGTATTTATACTGTTAAGAAAAATGGAAGAATCTGTTTGCACAGTGTAGTGGTATAAGGTAGCTCTTATGCCATTCAATGATATAAGTGATTGAAAAATAGTGAAAATTTACCTTGATTTTGCAATATTATATTTATCTTTACGTTTGTCCTCAGGAAATGTCTTATTTTTATTATCATGCAATACCTATATTTTTATCTTTATCTTCATGCAATGTCTTCATCTTTATCTTTCTCTTCATGCAATATCTTTATCATTAACTTTATCTTCACGCAATATCTTTATGTTTAGCTTTATCTTCATGCAATATTTTTCTCCTACCTTTATCTTTAATATATGCATCTTATTTTTCTCTTTAATGTCTTTATCTTTACCTTTACCTTCGATAACCAATTTTTATGTTTCTCTTCACAAAATATCTTTATCTCTACCGCTATCTTCATGCGCTATCCTAATTTCGTCTATATTTGATATCTTTATCTTTAACTTTTTCTTCCTTCATGCTCTTGCACGCCAGAATTCGTTGCAAATTGTTGCAAAATACAGGTTATGAAGAAGCAGAGCACTCGATCGAGTTCATACGACCATTGAATGAGTTGTAAACAAAATAACAGACGCATCTCACCAGATTGTTGTCGACAGCGATCATAAGCTCTGTGTACCTCGTCTCATCGGTGGTAAAATAAGGACGGTAGAATTCGTCAATTCCACGACGAACCTGAGATAATGAACATCCAATTATGATGTAATGAGCACCCAAATAAAAAGAAAAACAGACTTCTTTAAAATTGTTACTATGATACTAAAATTAGACAGTGTGTAGACCTCTGCACAGAGACTAGACTGTTATAACCTTTTTAACGACTGACGTCTCAATCGACTATGCGAGGAATCAGCTATGTTTTGATGGTAGTTTGAATGATTATAATAACGCTGTAACCAAAAGACAGAAGTTTATTCTGAAAACTCTGCCATCAAAGCACTTCACCTACCCTTTGGGCTGTTCTATTACCACTCTCATTATGATCATTCCACCTGTTTCTTTCCTTCACATATTTTGACCTAATGGCGTTTGAATTAGATGTACCTAAGTATGATGAAAATAATTACGCCATGATTAATCTTTGTTATCAAAATGTTATAAACATTAATTCCGTTCTATTTTCACTTTGTAATAACTCTGATCAACAAAAGTCTCTAAAAAATTTAATGTTCAATGAATGTTGAGCGCGCCTTCTTGGTGACACCGTAGCAGGGCAGCTTTTACCGGTTTTCAGTGCAATAGTTAATTGCGTCAACTCTACAGTTCTCTACATAATGACCGGATAAACAAGAAAAAACGAAGGAAGAGCGATGGTAGATGGACGAGTGTGGTTTTCAACTTTCATAGACTATCATCAGCGAGGTATCAAACAAGTTAAGAATACGAGATAAACAACTTCGCAGCATTTTGTACCTTTTCCTTCAATAGTTGTGGAGTTTCTCTCGCGCTGTCGCAAGTAGATAGCACTTTACTCGATGAAAGACGTCTTCTTTCTAATTCGATATACCTCTAGCGTTCATACTAATGGAGACTTAATTGATATTTATTTTTGTCCATTTTCAGCAATAACTTCAGGTGCAAGGATACGTACGGCAAACTTTATCCTTGTGATTGAGCTCCTTTACTTGGTATATTTTGTGTGCTCCATCTGGCTGCGGATCAAACGAGAGAAAAATGGTTATTTTGACAAAGGAAATATGTATTATTGGAAAATTTCGCTGAGGAAATATCATTCCCCTCAATTTGTTCTCCTTTTACTTCAAACGCACGACGGTAGCGATATTAAAATGATACTAAATATAAGCGTCCTAAGGCCGTTCTGCCCACCCTAACCCTCTCCACCCGCCTTCCTGTGTTAGAGAGAGGAACAAAACATCTGTACATGTGTGACGTCAGAAGAGGTTTTTTCGTTGGTAATGATCTTGTCTTTGAGAATATCCTTGAACCAAAGTTTTCAACTGGTGTTGCTAAGTAACGTGACGCATTGTTTAAGTGACTTATCAGTAGCAACAGTGAATTCAGCTCAACTGCTTTGTCAATAGTGTAACAATGATGGGACCCGTCTTTAGTTTCTGATCTGTCCTGCATTATACTACGTTGAGCCTTGCGTGATGCCATCACAAACCTTTGAATCGACGGGCTCTACATAGACTCGCTCCTTTCCGTCATCGATATATCCTCTGAATAGAATGAAAGTGTATTTACTGAAAAATCATGTAAAATCACATCAAGTGTATATTGAGTCACGAGTCGCATTTGTAAGAGAGATTGCGTGACAATCCAAAAGAACGTTACCTTAATCCTTTACAGGTGCTAATAACAGCTGTAGATTCCTCCTTGCCTCGGATTTTACCATGATAATGACAGTTTTCTGGTTTGGACTATATATTAAAAAAACAACAAACATTCAACCATACATGCTACATGACTTCTCCTACAGGAATTGAGATAAAAAAACATTCGTCTGCACACATCCTTCGTTGATGCCAAGCATTGAAACAGCTCTGTTTCCAACGCGATTCAATACACACTTTCCCAAGCCCTCCTCCATACGTGACTCGGCCCTTCGATGCAAAGATTCATTCAAGGCGGGGAGGGGTTAAAAATTAAAGAGACATCTGTGCCCGTTCGCAAAAGGTGTCCGCTGTTAAAAACAGAAACCTTCTGCACAAAAGTACAGCATTTTGTTTAAAATATGATGATACCCTTGCTTCAGTGTGTGTGAGTGCTATGCTTAGGGTAGATGGTCTTTAGTAGAGATTCAGCTATTCTTGAGATGACTTTACCATAACTTCATGCTAATTCTACATGACTCCTATAAGCGTCTGTTTTCATATAGAGAAATGATTGATATTTTCCCAGGCATTATGCCCCAACATAGTACAGAAGGGCACATATATCGCTTCTTATTTACTCCAGATAAACGTAACCTGCGATCAGGCGTTCTTTTTTCGGCGAAAAAAAAAGAACGCCTGATCGCTATATAAACGCTGTTTCCTACCGTTTTCATCACAGGTGTTCCATCTGCCTGGAAGGATCTCACCAGAAAGGAACGAGACACAAGTTCTCTAGAAAGAGAGAGAAACGATGATGTAATAAATTTGCATTACCTCTTTTTTTCTCATTGCAAGCAGTACATAACAATGAAACTTTCAGATAAAAGTAAGAGTAGCGATCAATTGGTTAGAGCTTCCTATTCGCCTTTGCAATGTGATATAATTGGTAAAAGGTAAAGCTTTAAAACCAGGCCAAACGGAGATTCTCCCCCACAACAACTTAGTGATCATTCAAATATCTCACACAGGTAACGAGCTCTGATATCCTTTCATAAATATCTTTCTGTAATAACTGCCTTTTTTATTCGTATCTATGAGGATCACCTCTGCGCTACAGTACATTTGATGCGCAATTAACACCTTTAAATATTCTTCGACTTTCACCGACTGTAGAAAAAGAGGGTTTTCTTTTCGCATTTGAGGAGTATCGTTAAGGAACGCAAACGGCTTCTTGTCGAGGATATTTACTACACCATACACTCTACAACAATACCCCTTTCCTCCTGTCAGGCTTGAGAATTCTAGCGTTAATTAATTTTTTACTTACTTGTTTTGCTTCAGGTCAACGATATGCTCGTCCTTATGTGAAGGTATAACGAAGCTCACTTCACTAGCGTGATGATCTGTCTGAAAGAATTACAAAAAAATATATATTAAGAAGTAGAACTTGCATGTGCACTAGTTTCTGACTGTGAAATGAAGGAAGCGTCTAGGAGTAGGGTATTGCAATTCCCCCTGGATGGGATGCTAGTTCATCGCATGCAAGGTCAGCCTCAAGGATACTAGTAAGATGGCAGTGTGAATGATTAAAGTGTTTTGCCTTTGAACACAACTTGCAGAGAATAGCCAACGCTCATACTCGTGACGCTGGATTCAAAGTCCTCAGATTTACTTTTTAACCTAACTTCACCCTACCTTCCTACAGTCTTAGAAATAATAAAAATAACTCTAAATTTTACAATTTTTGCCTCTAGTGAGAACAGAATAGAGGCAGACGTGATTCGGACTGATGAGCGTGGTTCTTTCGTTTCCGTCCAAGCGTACCTTAAGCTTGATCCTGTCCATACTATTAATACTACTAGTATCTAAGATTTAATTATGAAAGATACAATGCTTCATTAATTGTCACCTTTTCTTTGGTCGATAAACATTCTTTAATTTCATCATTTTTTGAAAGTCTTCTAGGATATACCACTTTAGCACTGCTTGTGTCTAATTCCTCTCCAGGAATCGTGAACTTGACTCCTTCTCCTACAAGTTAAACGTGTAAAGCGAAAATAAAAAAAATTAAATTTATAAACATCTATGATCCTTACAATTTGCGGTTAGAGTTAAATCAGTACTATAAAGAAATTAAAAGTAGAATTAGTCATTTTACGCGGTTCTTGTGTGGTGGACAAACAAAATATACCACAATATACAACTTAGAATTCTTTCAACAAGCTTCCTTGAATATCGACTAATATACTCGTACGTATACCTGGGACCATCCATCCACTCAGCAAAATCATTTCGCAGAAGGAAATGAAAGCAAGTCTCTTCACTGCCATCATAAGCCTTCCCTATACAGAAACAAATTGAACGCTTTGTATAATGAACAAAGATTTTATTAAGCCAGATTCAAGGTTCGTTGAATATAGAAGTTGTTGTGGAGAATTACTGATTAGTATTAATGGTTTTTTTTTTAAAATTGTTGTCCAGTTTATTCACAGGTACTGAACTCGGTCTACTTAAAAGTAGAAATTATCTAAGAAGTTAGAAGTGAACCTTGCTGTGATATATATACTGAATGTGTCAGCTAAAAGAAAGAAAAATCAACGACGACATTAAAATCGTAGATAAAAGTGGAAGGGTTAAAGGTTGAGAAATATTTAGACGGACTGCAAAACACACCTTAAAATATTGACAAGTTTGATTATTGATTTGGCACCCACTCTTTCGGAGTGAAAATCATTTAATTATTTGTTTTTGGCATCCTAAGACTTCCACTCGTTTGTGAAATGATTGAAGGGACGACGTATTACACTATTTTATTTAGGGATGTACCTTTGGCAGCTGACAATCTTGACTTTCCAATTGACTCGCTTAGTATAGGAAATATCATCTACGTTAAAATAAGTAAGCTTAAAACCAACGGTACTTACCATAGCAGTGTTGTTTGCTCCCAAACGTTTAATATCCCAACAAGTTACAGATATAAATACCCTCAACTGAATGCAAAACTGATTCTGCGCATAAGACTTTTACCCAATGATTACTGTACACAATTTGTTCTTTAGTTCAATACTTCGCACACGAAGAGTTTTCAACAAATAGACAGTCGAAATGATTATGGCCTTCAAATTAAATCGCTGGTAAGCTTAACTACAGGTATCTGCCAAGTTATTTAAAATGTCTGTCATTTAAAAGCAGGTTGAATTATATTTCATTCTCTTTATTGAATTCCGAGACTACAGTAAGGAAAGTATTTGAAATGTTTTGGTCAAGGTCAAGTGCCCTTAACAGAGTTAATCTTTTTTTTGGCACTAAAGGCTTAGAACTAGAAGCAAAAGCAACAAAATATTGAACAAAGAAACAAAAGACTAATTATTTCCAATGTCTTTGAATCAACGCATGGGTGACCATTTTAATGATCCTGTCGTGAATTCTAGTGTCATTATTGTGAACGAAAAAAGTCACATGTCGCTTTGTCACCCTGACCATTCGATCAAATATCTCGTTCACAATTATAATTACTATTGTTATTATCTTTGATTGTCAAAAAATTGTAAGCATTGTGATTTCTGTTTCTGCGACAATTTCTTTTCACAAATATAGTGAGTTGCCTTAGGCCTCTCTACTAAAGCAAATCCAATTCTGGCCCACAACTATTCATATGAAATTGAGTTAAATTTGCATATGAAAGAAATTTCATTTTCATGTGAAAGGATGGGCACGAAGACTTGCTTTGAGAAAGAGACTTACGGTAATTCAGAAATAGCCTATTGCGAAATCGTACAAAAACATTTCATTGTGACATCAAAGAAATGCTTTCTCTAATAGAGTAACTCCTTACTCCACCATGCAACACGCATGCAGCCACAATCCCCCTCTTTACTGTGACGGAGGTCGATCTAACGCTCGAGACATCAGCTTCACAAACTCGCAACGACGGTTAAACCTTTATCAACCGCAAGTTGACAAATATCTGAGTGTTTAGGTTGCCCGCCGAAGCAGTACAACAGTTTCTTTAAAACCTAACACTCTTGTTTATTTGTTGTCTCACCCATGATCATGAGTGCGCTTTGTGACACATTGTACAGGTGAGCTTAATGAACACAAGAGGGGAAACAGCTGATTAATAACGAAATAGAGATTAGCCTAAGCTTAAGGTTATGTGAACTCTTCCGATTGCTTTCCGGAAAATTCCGAAGCTTACCGAAAATTATTAAAGGACAGATACGAAGTAGAAATCTTTATACTGAATACTAAATTGTAGTTCAGTGAAGTAATTATGACCAGAATATTCAGTCACATCAGTCAGTTGAAAAGACTCAAGTTTTGATCAATTCAATCTGTAATTCGCTCCAGTGTCATCCAATTTCGTCCACTCGTACTCCACTATAGTTACTTTTTAGCTCTAAAGCCCCGGTGAAATGCGCACAGAATCGAGAGGACGCAAGTTTATAGCTTCTGTCGACATGTGAACTCTTTCGACTCTGTTTTGGCCTGCGATCATTTTGATCAAGATCTACTTTGTACTCAAGTTGACGACTTACGTTTTCCACGTTTTGCTACCCTGCGCAAGTCAAAGCATGTGTGTCTTGCGCCATTAGATGACTGCTGAATGACAGCGCGCGCGGAAACCAACCTGTACCATTGAAATGAGATTTTTGCCAACTTGTGCGCGCTTGCGGGTAGCTTTTCATTCCGTTTGCCGAACTCAAATTTATATTTCAAACTTGCGTCCAACTGAGATTCCGTTTTACTAGCATCACGATATTTCTGTCTTGACGGTTTGCCAATTGTTTTGAATCTGTTCTGAAATTCTGTATTTTATTAGACGCGCGCCATTTGGTCCACCACAACACGCGCATGTTGTTCGAATCGAGATGTTATGACGTGAACAATCGTTGCCAGGATATGTAAACGCGCCGGCAAAAGATGAAAATGTGAATGAAAATTGTTATCAAGGTTTACTTAAAAAAGAAAGACTATTTATAACCATGACGGCGGAGAAGAGAGTTCTACGCAAAGACGAACAGCTCTTAACGAAACTACAGTCAATTTTAAAACTGTACAAGAATTTCCATGCAGCAGCCGACGAACAAGACAAACTTGTCATTTTAGAGGCTTTGAAAAGTATTCGTGAGATTCTGACAAGAAGGTACGTCACTGAGCGTTTAGGAAGAAACGACATTACGGAGATTGAAGAAGTTTTAAAAGACTTGAAAAGCCACGTGAAAGCAATGGCGTTAGACGAATTATTCAGTGAATTAAATGAGATTAAAATGAGAATGGACTTGGTAGAGACGAGATTCGATCTGGAAGACACTATAAAGCATTCAAAAAATAATTTTAACGAAGAAGGTAAGTCATTTGAAATGTTCTCAATGATATGAAAAATCTTAAATGAATAATTATTTAGCCACTGTATATTATCAATTTTTCGTTATTGCTGAACTTACCGAGATCTAGATATGCAAGACCAACGTAAATCAGCTTTTCTCTGTAAATGTAACTGGCTGACTTACTGACTGACAAACAGACAAGCAGACAGGGACAGACAGACTGACTGCCTGCCTGATTGTCCGACTGAACTGAGACCGACAAATTGTCAGTCTGGCTGTGCGACTGACGGATCGGCTGACCAAAAAACTGACTGATAAAGTGACTACCTGCCTGCCTGCCTACCTACCTACTTGTCTGTCTGTCTGTCTGATTGTCTGATAGACTAATTGACTCCTTAACTGCCTGCCTGACCGACTGACTGCCTGTCTTTGTGCCTCATTGCCTGCTTGACTGACTGACTAACTGACTGACTGACCAACTGACCGACCGAAATCAGTTTAAACATATTTGTTTTATTAGAACCGTGACAACTTCTAAATGACTAACATACAAACCAATTGATCCATACGTTACACATTGTTCAGTAAGATACCATAGTTTCGGACCGACATTAGACATTTGGGTGCGCCAACGCAACGTAACGTCCAGCGCAAGTCTTTCTGACTTTTCTTGTCATCAGCTATTATTTTAATTCAGTAAGTCTTATCCCGTAGATGATGATGAGATATGGAGCAGAATCAGTGCTAAAAGGAAGGAAATACTCGGCCAGTCAAGCTTAAGACTGAAATCCACTCTTCCACGATACATGTACAAGGTGAGGTTTGATTTGCCGGGTTCACCTGCTCCTGTGCGCGCCGGTTCAGATGTGGGAAACGAGAACCAGGACTCGGAAGAAACGTCCGATGATAGCAAAGAGCGTTTCAAATCAACTGACCAGATACTTCAAGATAGGATTAACAGTCTTCAGGGTTTTCTTAGGGAGCGAAAAACACGTTTAGCATCAGCAAGGAGACGCACAAAGATTAGTTCAGAGCTGGTGAATTCGGCGGACTACACGATTCAGCAATGCAAGAGAGAGTTACAAAGAGCTCGAGATGCGCGCTGTGGAAACCTTAGGACAAAGACTACATCTGTAGTTAAAAGCGGTGAGGACGATCTCAAACAAGGAAAGTCCCAAAGCGTGACAGTTACACGATGCGAAGAATGTAAAAGATGGTTAAAGGAAAGAGATAAGTTTTGGGGATTAGAGTCGGATTCGGAAGAAGAAGACATTAAAGAGTTTAACAAACACGTGAGACGCCGGAGCTTACGGCGAGATTCAAGGCCTTTTGAAGCTACAGGAGGAAGGATAGTTGGCATGTCTTCGGGATCATCTAGACACAAAGATGTCAGAAGAATAGCTGGGCGTGGTACATGGACAACACCAGCTTATGTTCCGCCATGGGCAGCAAATGGGACGAATACCGTACTAGACAAAGGGCGGTTTGGTCCTAAGCGAGGTAAGAATAGATATTTGTTTACGTGTTTTCAGTTAGGGAAAAAATTGTTCCCGAAAGTTTCGGAAAAAGTTTGGGATTCTATTTATTCTTGCTTAATAGTACGCACATTATGACTGGTCAATTTTATTGACGCCATCACTCTATACTTAAGAGCCAGCCGTTCAACATGCCTGACTTTAATATTTCCTCCCTGAACCTTCTCCAGGGATCTCGCGAGAAACGTAAAAAAAAAAAACCTTATTCACCTTGTTTACCTTGTTTTCCTGGTTGATTCGAAAGATACAGTCGCCCTTTTTCTCCCTCGACTTATGATCAGCGAGCTTCGAGTTTGGTCAAGAGAAAATGAGAGAAAATTTTCTCTTGGTTTGGTACAGTAGCGCAAATCTGGACGGGAGAAAACCCGGTCCGATTCTTTGATTATACTGACGCTGACACACTTGACACAATCGTATTTGAAACAACGCAGCGAGCCGACCAGTGTAGAGCCAGGGAGTTGACGTAATCTGCGCGCATTTGTTTCTACCTTGAAATAAAATGGAACCTCAAAATGAACGGGCCGATCGGTTTTCTTGATCAAAATAAGGGCGCGTAACTCACACAAGGCATAGGACGATATGCAAAAGTAATACAACACTACTCTTGGTTTTTAAGTTATCAATCGGACAATGACAACATCAACTTGTCAAACTCTTTGTTCTTTTAAGTCACATTTAATTTTCTTTCGCTTTAATCTCTGCAGGAATTTTACAGAAATTTTGGACTCGTCTAACAAGACACCACCACTATGCAAGTTAGGTGAAATTTTCAGAAGTGAATGTACAACGCAAATTAGAACTGAATATCTATGGATATTTGTTACTATTTTGCACTTAAATAAAGCGAACCCTTTAGATGCCATTTGCAGTTGTCTTTGATTGTGTTGGGTCCTTGATACTTCCATCAGTCCGCAAGGGGAATTGGTTTTTCTCGAAACGTCTCTAAAAACTTGAATACCCTTAAACAATTTTTGTAAACTTAATCTAATGCAGTTCAATTCAAAGTGACACACAGCAACAATTTGTTCTTATTCCGCGATCTTTCTATTTTATTGATCAAGGCTAGAGAATCTTGTTAATTAGCTAATCTCGGCTTTAAACCGTTAAATTATTCTTATACAAACCCTCTCGTTTGAGGGACTGTTGTTGGCAATCTAAAAGCGGAATCAGGCGTTGCCCCGCCGAAACGGAGACCAGAGAGCATATGGATATCGGAGATTGTATAGTCTCGACTCCAGATAAACCTGTTCAAGACTCTCGGTCACTACTCCTGATGCTTGCTGTCACCATGCGGTACGGAACACAAATGTTTATGAGCTACCGCTAAGCTCTTCATAAGAAGATTGTCTATGGGAAGAAAATTCTTTTTACGCTCCTACTATCTTCATGTTAGTTGCGGGAAAAAAAATAGGTAACTGAAATATCCTGAGGGCGTGACGCGCGCGTGCTTCTCGCCCTCAGGAATTCGCGCGGCCATTTTTTTCTTGCGGTTTTCTTTCGCGTCACGCATACCCTGGGTACCAGAGGGGTTTTTTTTTTTTCCGTAGCGAAGCTGCGATTGTGAGCGGCGAAGCCGCGATCGAGATCCTGGCGAGAGAGAAAAAGTTTTTTTTTCCTCTCTCGCCAGGATCTCGATCGCGGCTTCGCCGCTCACAATCGCAGATTCGCTGCAAAAAAGGAAAAAAAAAAAAACCTCTCGCACACAGGGTACGTCACGCACGGCGGACAAAGCGAAAGAGGGACTACTCGTGGCCTAAAGGCTAAATATCATGTTGATTGGGCACAGGATCGATACGACATTTTCTGTTTAGCGGAAAGTTTGCATACTACAAAAATGAGTTTATAATTAATACTAGGATAAGGAGCCAAAAGAAAGGA